ATGAAGTGAAGAACTCTCTCTCTCTCTGTTTTCCAGTACCTGCTTGGTTTCCAAATGCAAAGAAACAAAAAGAAGGCACAGAATGTTTACTTTGCCTACTGCTTAGTTACAGAAATAAAAAATAAATAAAGGAAAGCACGATTTTGGTGCTCCTATACTAAATGCCGTGGATTCTTCATAGTGTCCACAGTGATGGACTGTTTTATAAGAATTCTAAGCAGTGTGACTTTATGGAATCAGTATCCCCCTGTCCATTTGACATAAAATTTCCATAAGGTCTATAATGCTTATTTTTCTGGAAATTCCAAGGCTTTCCAAAGGCACATCCTCACAAACACCCGTTAGAAGCAAGGAGGCTAGCTCCTACGTCTATACCATATAAGGCCCAGACAAGGGCTTCCTAAGTAGCCAGGATACCTCTTCACGACTTCAGAGGGATTAGGGCTCCTAACCTCCCTGCCCACTCAAGAAAGATTTTACCTCTTGGCAACTGCTTAGACATTGCATATCACAGACAGATTTCTCTCAGAAAAAAAAAAAAAAGACTAAAACATCAAAAAAATCCTGATTTTATGAATTCCGAGGCCGTTTGTCCATATGCATTTCTCCCAGATTAAAAGCTATTAAAAAAAAAAAAATCTGATTTGCTAAGGAACTGACGGCCAGTAAAACTCTATCTTGGACCAGAAAGGACAATCTGCTCAACAAAACTCTTTGAGTCCCTTAAAATGCTCACATCAAAAAGCATCCACTGGGTATTGAGGCATTCAAGATGAAACGCAGGCAGAGCAGAACACTGAACCCATATGGGCTCCATCCCGCAAGCTCTGTCCAGACTCTGTCCTCAGGGCCTTAAAAGTCTCCTGCAAAGCTGGTGCAGCCACTCTGGAAAATAGTACAGAGGTTCCTCAAAAAGTTGCAAATAGAGCTACCGTACAACCCAGCAGTTGCACTACTGGGTATTTACCCCAAAGATACAAATGTAGGGATCCGAAGGGGTACGTGCACCCCGATGTTTATAGCAGCAATGTCCACTATAGCCAAACTAGGGAAAGAGCCAAGATGTCCATCGACAGATGAATGGATAAAGAAGCTGTGGTATATATACACAATGGAATATTATGCAGCCATCAAAAGGAATGAGATCTTGCCATTTGCAACGACGTGGATGGAACTGGAGGGTGTTATGCTGAGTGAAATAAGTCAGTCAGAGAAAGACATGTATCATATGATCTCAGTGATATGAGGAATTCTTAATCTCAGGAAACAAACTGAGGGTTGCTGGAGTGGTGGGGGGTGGGAGGGATGGGGTGGCTGGGTGATAGACATCGGGGAGGGTACGTGCTATGGTGAGCGCTGTGAATTGTGCAAGACTGTTGAATCACAAATCTGTACTTCTGAAACAAATAATGCAATATATGTTAAGAAAAAAAAAGAAGAAGAAGATAGCAGGAGGGGAAGAATGAAGGGGGGGAAATCGGAGGGGGAGACGAACCATGAGAGACTATGGACTCTGAAAAACAAACTGAGGGTTCCAGAGGGGAGGGGAGTGGGGTGATGGGTTAGCCTGGTGATGGGTATTAAAGAGGGCACATTCTGCGTGGAGCACGGGGTGTTATGCACAAACAATGAATCATGGAACACTACATCAAAAACTAATGATGTAATGTATGGTGATTAACATAACATAATAAAATAAAATTTAAAAAAAAAGTCTCCTGCACTGAAGGAGAGAGAAAGCCATGGAGGGGAAATAAAGGGGGAAAAACAGTTGGCAAAGGAGGGAGAGCATGTATGCAAAAGAGGGAACGGATGCCCGAGAAGACGGTGAGGATGGGGCACGAGGGAAGAGGGAAGAGCGGAGGATTCTGTTCACAGGTGAGTCTGAAGAGCTGCCACCTCATGAAGATTCATTCTAAGAGACAGCGCCTTTTGCCTGAGGATTCTGTTTGCCATCCGTTGGTGCAGAAAAGCATCCAGCAGAGTGAGTACTCGCGCCGAGGTGAGGATCTTAGCTGGGAGCCTTGCTGCAGCAGCAACAGTGGCTGTCACAGAAAATCGGAAGAGCAATGCTTACACGGAAGAATAAACGTTCCCTTCTCCTGGGCCAGGATAGTCACTGGCCTGCGGACACCTGCACAGGGCCCTCCTTGGTGCTCACTGCTGCATCTCATCAGTGGTAAGCGCTCCAGGATTCATGGGGGATTGCCAGCTGTCATTTCCATATCGCTGGCCCACCTGAGCGGCCACAGACCCTCTCAACTTGACTTCCAGCCAAAAGCATTGGCCAGAGGGTCACGTGACGGCTGCAGCCCATTCTCCTCCCAGCAAACACCCCACTCCTTATTCTGATCCAAGCCCTGAGACAGGGAGTACTCTATCCCCTACTCAGATTAGAAGATTATCCACAATTTTTATCCAGGATGATTTCACCTTCATTCTTCCCTGGAAAAACAGAGAGAGCAGCAGAAAGGCTGGTTTCTGTCTATCTGCTGATCTCGAGATGTCACAGTCGAGAATGAGAACCCTACCAAATTCCAGGTAAGCCTTAATTCCATTCACTGAACTTTGACATGTGATGCCAACGAGTGGTATTTCCCTTTGGGAAAATTCATTAACTTCTCAGACTTGTGGTTTGTTAGCTACATACCAGCAAGGACTGTTAAGGCTTCTTCCAGCTCTACAATGACAGAATTCATTGGGTCCACAGTCACAGGAGGTACTTTTTGGTCCAGACCAGGACTATGGTGATATCACCCTAACTGGTCTTCTTGCTTTTGACCTCATATTACCACAGTTCATCCTAAAATTGCTACCAGATTAACCTTTGTAATCTATACCTCTGAACACACTATTCCACTGACCAAAATTTTCGCAAGGCTCCTAATTACGAAAACAAAACTCATTCTGCCTAGCAAACAGTAAAAAACAATCAAGATCAGATTCCACAAATATACACAGAATTAACTTTACAAAATTTTAGTTTCAGCCAAATGGACACATTCTCAACCACGTAAACACAGTTTTTCTAACTTTATATTATCATTTATGACATTCCTCTTGTGTGAAGTATGAAGTGTGATCCTCCAAACAGAAATATGACATAAATCCTTTAAGGTCAAGGTGAAATCATTTCATAAGATCTCCATCTCCTGAACTTTGGGCTGCCAATTTCATATAATGCATCCAGCTACTTTAACTGGGTATCTATTTATGTGTGAATGAGGGCACTGACTTTTTGGCCTCTCTTAGACTACTGGTGAACTCATGTGCATTTATCTTCTCTTCCCACATGGACTGAGTGCTCCTTAATAAAGTTATTTTAGATCAACACTGAACCATTATGAGCACCTAAAACAGATGTGGGGCCTAACGTATTTTTTTTTTAATCTCATTGGACGCGCACCTGCAAGTATACTGATCCATACAAACGTATCTTAAGGCAAAGAGAGCCAACACCAAGTACTGTGCACAAGTCCATGGCTGAGTTGGGGCCACAATTCAGGTGTCCTCTCCTCATTCCTCCACAGTTGTCCACTCTGCCACATTGATTGTGGGAGGCACTGTTGGAAGTGCTGGGACATGAAGGGTTACATTTCTGGGCATCTCCTCCAGCACAACTGCAGAGATGCATAGTTTTCCCTTAGGCAGGTAAATCTGGCCCTCTGTATGCCTCTGGCATCAGGGGGAACATTAACCAACTGTCAAATAAAATACAATAGCCCAGTGGATTAAGTGACTACCACTCTGTGTCCTGAGCTGCTCAGCCTCGCCTCTGGTAACTGCACCATCTTGGACCAGATGCACGGTGGCTTGACTCCAGGAATGGAATTGTACATTCTGCTGAAAGGGTAGGCAGGCTGCTTAAGAGGAAAAAAATACTAATTGTAAATCTTTTCTATTTTTAGGCTGAATGTGCATTTTATTTGGCAGTAAGGGCAGCGTGAATAAAATTCCAATCCTGAGAATTTTAATTTTAATTTGCTTCCTCCAAAATGCCCATGTCAGTAGAGACCTTGGAAAATTACGTCCACCAGTCCCCTCCCTTCAGGAAGAACCCCACACATCTACATCTTCCCAACAGAAAAAAACCCTTGAGTACCCTCCTCACTCACATTTCTTTAAATACATGAAATTTCTAGCATAAGATTCCTATAAAAATAATTTGCAGGATAACTACACTGAGTCACGCACTTCACAAAGAGCATTCCAGTGTTGCACCTATTTTCCAGTTGGCTTTTATGGCTAGAGTCTGATATTTGCCTGTGAATCTTCTACTTAATTATATTTGCTGTTGCTAGCCTTACATTCTACCTGAAAATGTAAGTTTTTTAGAAGCAGGAGCTAAAGGTATTTTATAGTGCATCTGTAGTATAGAGTACATAATATGTATCCCATAAAATACATATACATATCTCACACACGCACACGCACACACAACCTCATTCAATGCTTTCTTAAAAAGTAGACTTCTCCTTCAACGCAACCACCAAGAGCAGACAAATCCTGACATTACTTGACTCTGAATAATACTATCTATGGACATTATTATCGCTCCTCTGGCCATTTCTCTCACTGTTTTAGCAAATCCCTAGTTAGTGCTCTTCACCTTTTCAGGGTTGTCCTTCCCTATAAGGCTCTGAGAAAAGCCCTGAGCCCTTTATCCAGAAAAACAATCACATCTCCACATGCACAAAGCAGTCTCAAATTCCATGGATGTTGGGAGCTCCTCATGGCCTGCAGCATCTAGGTTAAGAACTGCTTCTCCACCATGTCTTCCTCCGTGTCAGGCTTTTCCCTTATACACTGTTTCAGATGTTGACACAGCTCAAGCAAGCACCCTGAAATCCTCCTTGCTGCCCCCTGACCCCCTGGCTCAGAGTTCAGGCCACTGCACAGAACAAAAGTCACCACCGAGAAGAAATGTAGAGATAATTAGCTAGCGGCCTGTTCCCTGGAAAACCGTGCACTGTTGTCTCAAACAAGGTAATCACACTCACCTTTTGGTCTTGGCTATATGCCAGAATCCAGTCCTCTTGCTTGGGGTGGAAAAGCAAGCTTTGGATGTAAAAGTTCAGCCGGTACTTTTGATAGGTGGCCCCTTCATCCGAGCTGATCAATAAGCTGCTCTCAATCTCCGGGTCTGTGAGTAACATAATCTGCAGCCAAGAATTGTTGGGGAAAGAAAACAACAAAAAGTTAAGTTTACAAATTTACAAAACTTAGAAACAAGTTAAATTTTTGGAAAGAGAGGAAAAAGGAGCAAAGAATGTTTGGTCAAACAAGGACCTTGACTCTGCCAGTTTGTTCTCCTGGACCAACGCCATGAAACTATTTAAAAAACAAAACAAAACAAAACAAAACTCAAAGAGGCAGACAAGGTGCCAGGAAGGAAGAGGGCACAGAGGAGTGCATTTTAGTTTCTTCTACGGGGCTCCTTGTTTTTTCCCAAGGTTATTTCCTTAATCTAAAATATGTCCCACTCTTCCCCTAACCCCAGTCCTCTTTCGTATTGTGCCTTATCTACTTTCCATTTTGGAGAAATAAAAGAGCAAGGCTTGTCATAATCTGTTGTGGTGAAGGTGGAAAGAAACAGAAATAGAATGGGCTCCACTGGTTTTTCTCTCTTACCATAAGCCCTCTTACATCAACACTATCCCCATATGTCGTCCTACCTTGAGTCTGATTTTCTGAGTCTTGACTCAAAGGCTGGGCTTTCTAAAGCCTTCTCTGGAAATTGTATAAAGGCGACTTTGTCACCTTTTAACCTATTTTACGATTTCCTTTTTTATAATTCTTATCATCTATATAACTCCCTACCAGTCCATGAGGTCCGTGAGAAAAGGGACGTTGGATATTTCTCTTTTTCCACCCCACAGGTATATTCCCAGCAGCTAGAGTAACACCCAGCATATTTTATAGACTCCATAAATATTTTCCAAACGAATGAATAAGTAAATAAATGAATGAACGAAAAGAGTTTTCAGAGTCGTCACACGGAAGTAGAAAGACGCCCAGAACAGTCTGAGCGGGTATGAATGGGAGCACCTTGGAAAGAGTAGCCGGGTGTCCTGCTCAGTCTGTAGCCTACTGACCAAGGAATATGCTTTAAATGTGGACACATTTACAGCTTCAGATGCTCTGTACTTTCTTGTCAAGACGGTTAACCATGGCCAGAGCAGTGGAAATCATCCACAACAGGAACAAGACGCAGGAGCTGCCCTGGAAACTGCTTTTTATTCTCTCATTTTATGCCTCTAGGAACGTGGGATAAAGTACCTCATTCCTGACTCTCCGCAGGTCTGCTATCACTCAAAGTGCTCACCTAATGTCTCCAGACAGGTGGCCTTAATGTTACCCACTGACTTCTTCCCCATCAACTTATTAATTGGCACTTTCTGAGTTTGGTTCGGAGAAGCATGAAAGATGTGCTTAATGAGGGGCCGCATGAAGAGAAATCGCTGCAGCCCAGGGTTTAAAGATTGCCAGCTAAGGATGCGGCAGTTCCAGGAAAAGAAGAGAGAGGGAAGAAAAAAAAAAGAGCCATATCATAAAAGATCCACCCGCCAGACAAACACACAGGGCTTTCTCAAGCATTTGGAGGCAATCACATTAAAACCTCAGAATAGTTAGTGTCATCTCTGAAAGTGGTGTCCTGTCAGTGCAAATGGCACATGAAGAGCGCACACCAGAAACACGCAGACTGAACTGTGTTTATGTAACCCAGGATGGATCAAGGCTCCTTGCCACTCCTTCAACCTGCCCCTTCGTGAAGAGGAGAACGGGACGCGGTGAGTAAGTGGAATCCTGGCTGTCAGCCGCACTCTGGACAAGGTGAAAAGCACACACGAAACTGGAGACTAATTGCCTCATTCCATGTTCCAGTGAAGCCACTGTCTACCAACCAAAAATTGTGACAGGGTTACATAGGTTTCTCTGTCTCTCATTCACTAAGCAGACAGTGTCCGCTCATCAGATGGCTGAGGCAGAACCACCAGGTAATCTACTAAGTACAAACTCATGTCCCTTCATTGAAATCTAGTGTATGCATTAAACAAGGATGTTCAGATGGCTCCTAAATTCACAACAATACTTCCAGGTGATTTCATATTTATTGGCACATAAAAGCTGTCATTTTCCAAATAACAAATAAGTTATCAAATGATCACATTGCTTTGTGTCTCCAGCCACAATTAACAAGGATATATAACAACCTTTTGGCACTACGGCCAAAAAGTCATTTCCATAATAATATGAAGCAGTTCAATTTTATAGAGCATCCATTGTGTCAGGCAAGGTGATTTTTTCCCTCCTCTGATTTTCTAGTTCCCTGTTAACCAAAATATGTTTTCCTTTATTCCCATGAGCGCAGATTTCACCACCTGCTTCTCCTGGCAGGCTATTTCATCAAAATAAAAACAGTAGTTCCACAGAATATCCTCAAATAAAGCTGATTTTCATGTGTCATCTAAAATATTTTTGATACTCATATGTGCATATGTGCTCCAAGTCAGCAGACTATATGAGATCTTCTGCTTCCAGATAATACTAGATGAGGGAAGGTAGAATAACACAAATATTTTCAAACATATGGATACTTAATATTGAATAAACAACACTCATGGCTTCCTTTGTTTTTATTCTGAGTGCTGAAAATATGTAGACCAATCTTACCTTCCCTCTCTAGTCCTCACCTGAAACCCTCTATCTGAAAATCTGACATTCTGGAAATGATGGAAGCTGTCAGGAAAGTCTCCCTGTCAGATTTATAGATGGATCTGAATTACACAAACCTTCCAGTGGTTCCTCTCTCAAATCTCTGCTCAAATCCACACAAAACAAACAGGTCAATCTGGATCCATTTTTATTTAGCCATTTTTTATTGCACAAACTTTGTAGGACTGCCAGCAGAATTCAAAATAAAAGAAAAATAAATTGCTCGTGACCCTCTTCCTTCAACAAGTCAAACCACGTGTGTGCTCCCCTCTACTTCTTTATTCACATCTCTATATAATATCATGGACGTATTGGTTTTTTTTTCATTTAATGTTATGACCCATGTTCATTTCCAACTGAACCATAAACACACAAATGCATGTACACACGAGTATGTACCATTGTGTACAATGTATTTCAATTACTTAATCACAGCCTTCAACATAATTAGGTTACAATCAGTGCAGTGGTTGAATGTCAATAAGTACTTAAATTATTAACTCAATAAATGGAATTTTATTATTTCAGTCTTTAAATTCAAATTCTTTAGTAATTTATTCCTAAATAAATTAGGTTTGCTGTGTCCTTTTTTTCTTTTAAGATTTTATTTATTTATTTGACAGAGACACAGTGAGAGAGGGAACACAAGCAGGGGGAGTGTGAGAGGGAGAAGCAGGCTTCCCCTTGAACAGGGAGCGTGATGTGGGGCTCGATCCCAGGACCCCGGGATTATGACCTGAACTGAAGGCAGACACTAAACGAATGAGCCACCCAGGCACCCCTATTGTGTCCTTTTGAAGATTATTAAAAGTAAATAAGTTAACAATAAAGAATTTACACAAGATCTAAACAGAAACTGTGTAACCTATCTGAGCAAAAGAAACAATGTAAAAATAAATGTGATCCAATCTTTAGACGAAAATGATGTCATTTATAAATAAAGTCCTATCTTCTCAAGAAGGTGTTCTCCTGGGAAATATTATCAAAATAGTACCTTCAAGTTAGGGAATACTCCTCAAAAAATAACAGATTACATTTCTTAGACATGCTCAATGATCCCTGGTTTTGCCGGTTTACCCTGGCTCTCTGTCCTATTCTGGCTTTGCATGCTTAATCCTCTGCATTCTAGAATATGATCAGGAGAGAATTTTAGGAGGACTCTGTAAAAGGCATGAATCTAAACTTTGCACAATTCCTCAAGTGAGCTCTCTAAGAAGAGGGGTCTTTGGCATAAAGCGTGGTCCATAGTAGGTCCGTCCATCTTTGTAAATAAACAAATGAATGAACAAATCAGTAAGTGAGTGAGTGAGTCCTCTTCATACCTGACTTTGGCTGAAAGCAGTCCATGGACTCCTGTGACATTGGGTCTGAGTTCTCTGGAACAAATCCCTGCTGTTGTACTCGGAGGCAAAGGAGGGTTGAGACAAGGGGAAGAGTGTGTCTTCAACAGGAAAGTAATTATTCTCTGTTCAGATCAGCCATGAGTGATTAGAACCAGTTTACTTATGCCTTGCAGGGTGTGCAGACACTGCACTGACTGCATCTGCAGATGAATTGTTTTCCATAGAAAGTCAATAATGGCGACACAGGCTCCAGCCACCCAACCCTAAGCAATCATTCATCATCCACTTTGGGAGAAGGAAGAAACTTTATTTGCTTTTCCTAGAGGTGACAAATGAACATGAAATGCAATTTATAGATTTAAAATATGTCACTTCTCCCTTTTTTTGGTATTAGTCCTTCTGACAACACAGTGTCAACAGAAATGAAATGCATCTTTACTCTCTTTGACTTGATCCAGATTCAACATACAGCTACATGATGTAATTCTATGAAAGGTTGCCTGGCAGCCTTCTTTCTGATCCTTCCAGGTGCCTACTGAGGACATTCCTCCCTAAGGAATACTGCTACTATTTAGTTTTCCAGATTCTTTTCCTAGTGTGTTGTTCTTGGAATTCTGCCATTTACCTCTTTAGACGTGGTGGGAGTTAATAAGGGGCAGCTTCACCACCTCCAGGAACATACCTTTCCCTACCATTCCTTTGGTCCTAAATCACAGAGTATTTATTTTATGTGTTGTTCATTACTTGTTTGCTCATTTGTCTACCCCTTGTCATTCATGGACTGTAATCACAAAGAGGTAATATGCTGGGGATATCTCTCTTGCTTTGCTTAAGGCTTAACTCAGATCCAGATGCCTGTATCATAGGTGCATAGCAAATACTTTCCATAATGATAATGACAATGGCAAAGAAAAATATCAGTAGTAGCAACTGGGCACTCCAGTTATCTAACCACTATATTTAAACAAGTATCTATCTATAAACACTATAAGAGGCTATTTGTAAACCTCTCACTTCAATATTAAAAACAAATTAAGTAAAATTGAACGAGAGCAAGTAAATAATTTGCTGATCAATGTAGGTGGAAAACCTGCTTATTC